ACGTTCGTTTTTTTTATATCGCACTAGAAACGTTCAAGACGTATAAAATGAAAGATTTACTTTAGGCGTCGTGCCTCTTTTATTTTTGCTTCCACATATTTCTTTTGCTTCTGCCTTAGAAATTCTTCCATCACGTCACTTATATTAGTTTTAAAACCTAAAATTTGTACTATTCAAATGATTTAAAGAAAAGAAAATAAATGTATGAACTTTTGTCAATTCACAATGTAAAGTTGAACACAGTAAGCCGAGAAGTGTAAATCTTAACGTCCATCAGTTGTATACAATGGTTCTAATAGAGCTTAGATAGTTACTCTAACAAGCATTACTCTAATTGATAACAATTAGTAAGTGCAAAAAAGTAGGGAGAAAATGCTATATTGAACAATTTAATTTTAAATCGATTTTTTACTTGTAGTATACTAAATTATATAGACCCATTGAAAATATAGATTACACATCTTCTTATGAACCGAAAAAAATGTTATGACTTTCATTACTTAGATATTCTATATTAGAAATCACTCACGCAATCAATAACTGTAGGAATCTACGTAAATGTACAAAATATATGAAAGACGAAATAGAAAATTCAGATGTTTTCAGTTAAAATTGATTGATAACTGCGACGTTACATTTCAATAGTCAACAATTGTAAAAATGTGAAATTTCTCAAAACTTTCGCATTATTATTATCAACATCACTCAAAATAAGAAATGATGTATGATATAAGGAAGAATTATTTTTCCGACACCCAACGAAGAAATTTGGCGTCTTTTTGTATCATCTGCAGTTTATGTGCTTCTTAATATCATGAAACTTTCGATTTGATTTGAATTACTTAAAATCATCATTATAAGTTTTGTGTACAATATAACATTGATGGTATCAATTTAAAAAATGTATGTAAACCTTGATATTTTATATGCCTTGATATTTATGTGCATTGCAAGTATTCTTTATATTCTGTGCGTAGTGCACAAAATCTACTAATAACTTGCAAAAGAACACTTTTGAGTTTAGGAATTCATTCATTAAGAAGTTAATTAGTATCGCCAAATTTAAATCTCTTTATGTACTATTTTCGATATTTAATATTTCCGATTCTAGTGGATGGAAATTCATGAAAAAGATCAGAAACATTCTAATATACCAGAAAAACATGTCAAAATTTTGTGAAGTCATTCGATCCGCATTTAACATTGGAAAAAATTCAGTTAATTTTCAAATTCCGAAACAATAAATTCTAATCATCCTTTTATTGTTCCGATTCTTATCTCCGATTTCAATGTACAAAAAGTGTTTAAAAATTCATAGATACAGTAAGAGCAGCATATGTGAGAAATTTTTCAAATCTTTTTATCCATAATTTATGTTAAATAACAATTTATCAAGTTGTCCAATTCTTGAGTAATGAATTTTAATCACTTCTATATACTTGTATTTTTATTCTCTGATTCTAATGTATAAAAAATTATACTATCAATGTACTATCATACAAGTAGTATATGTGAGAATTTTTTCAGATTTTTATGTTGCACGTTGTTTACCCTAGCCCACTCAAGGACAAAGATATAAGCAAAAGTCGGATACTTTTCGAAAAGTAAAGTAATGCTTACTTTAACGGCGAAACGCTATCTTCGACCATTGTAGACCCCTCGTCTCCCTCGATCCCAAAATGATCCTTAGCTTTTTGTTTCTTCAGAATAATATCAATATAACCAGCGATTAATTGAAGTATCTGTTCAGCTTCTGTGGTCTGTACACAGTAATACTGATCCGAATAATCACCAAAATCGAGAGTAAACGTGTTAGGAGAAGCGCCCCAACGACGAACTGTAGTCAATGGCCACGTTTTCAATATTTCTTTTGTCTTTTCGTCCAATCTTAAAACTGAATCCTTAGTAACGCCTAACAAACGCGGCACCAATTTGTTTTTACCCTTCATTTTCTCCTTTACCAGAAAGAATGTGACGCCGTAAGTGCTTAAAGATCTGGCCGTTTTCGTGTACAAGACTTTCGCATCCAGTTCGGACAGACCGATGTGTTTTTTGTGATCTGCGAATATTTTCTTCTCGATACCCTTTACTTTCAGGTAGGACTGCGGCAAGAATTCTTTCAGGCTGAAAAAGAAGAGAGAATAAGTTAATTATAATTGCTATCGTACGAAATCACAATATCAAAATTGTATTTTATTTAAATATTTGTGGAATTAAGAGTATTGATTGTAGTTCGTTACAAAATTTCGTGTGGCTAGAACAATACTGTATATAAAACATGCCCAAGAATTACTAAAATAGTTTGGATAACTTTTGAAAAAAAATTCAAGAAGCTGGAAATCGTCTATCAAAATCTATTTAAAGACTTATAAAATCAAAAATATTGATAATAAAAGGTTTAAAAAATTCATGAAACTAGAGGAATACTATATCTACAGCATATCTAAGATTCATGTTATTATCTATAATAGTTTTCCAAATAAAAATTCTTTTACTTCACAATCATATCCAATCACAATATTTAAATTGCATTTCATATAAATAATTGCAAAATGTAAGGTATTGATTGTAGATTGTTGCAAAAATTCACGTAGCTAGAGCAATACCATATCTAACATATATCCAAGAATCATTTAATTAGCTTCGATAATTATTGAGACAAAACTTTAGTAAGATTGCAATCTTACGAAACCATAAAATTAAAATTTTATTTTATTTAAATAATTGTATACTTAAATGTATTGATTGTCACAAAAATTGTAATTAGAGACTACAATAATGTTTTGCTGCCGATATTGGACCTGAAGCGCACCTTTCGTCAACGACAATTGGTATGCGTAACCAAAATCGATTCAAAAGAAAGTTTTGCGATTTAGTTAATGACAGTTATGATCTCTGGAGGAAACGTACTCAAGGAAGCCGGGCTTGTGTTTGTCTTCTTTGTGATCACCAAATTGTATCTGACATTGTATCCCAGCGAAGGTACAGGCTTTCTCTTCTGTAACTGGGTGAGTCCCATCCAATATAGCGTCTCTAGCTTGCACGTACAAAAGTGATAATTGCACTGGATCCCGGCTGTCGATATTCTGATCCGAAAAGAAGAATTTTCGACGCAACAGCACTGTCTCTGACTCGTCTATCCCTTGCTCGCGTAAAGTCTTACTCGGATCTATCCAGTTCACTGAAATTTATAAAACGTTTTCCATAATTCCATGAAAATCTTTTTATATAAAGACAACGAATTTTGAGGACTCATGTTACTACTAAATGCGTATTCAGACAAATAGCGTTCTGACGAACGAAATATCTGAAAACTCAAACTGCAATGGATAAGATGTCAAGATTTAAGAGTCAATTCGTTAGTGTCACATTAATACAAATTAGGATAACACACAATGTCTAATGATACATATATTAATGAAATTGTTTTTGAACACAAAAGTAAGTGACATTTATAAGTATAATACTCATACAATATGGACGTAGTGTACAATACTTTTGGTACCAATTATATTATTCTATTTATTAAATTGATGCAAAATGATATGCGGCTGATGCGATTCTATACTCAATCCTTGATTGACATTATGGGTCTGTATGATCTATAATCTTCCTTTGAAATTTTCTTAAGTAACATTTACTTGAAAAAGGGCCGCGGCAACGCACGAGGCGGTTATCGCGCTCCTGCCCGCCTTGTATACGAACGCTCTGGTTGGTCGGTAATTTTTGTTAATAACTCGACAACCACGCCTCGGACAACTTTTTTGCAAAGGAAAAAGTTGTTTAAAATCACCATGGCTCCTCCCCATTTCAAGGCCTAACACTAGTTCTGGGACACCCTGTATTATACCTACAAATCATCGCTTATTTCAAATTAAGTCCTCGCTCACCTTCGTCGTCGGTCTTCAACTTTTTCCTCAGTTGGTCCATCTTCGCGTCCCTTTCACCCTTGTCCTCCTTCCTCCTTTTCAAGGTCAATGTGCCAAAGTTTCCCGGCTTTTGGTTCTCCGTCTCCTCCTCGGGTAACTCGCGCACTAATGAGTACTCGTCGTGGTTTGTTATACCGATTTTTGTGCAGATGACTACCATCAAATTAGCGACTGGCTGACTATCATCCACCAGTATCGTTTTCAATGTTCCATCCAACATTCGCACGCGAAGTGTTCGCAGTTTTCGACGATACTCGAGTAGATCGCCGTTTCTCAATATGTAATAATCCAAGTTACGACCAGGCTCCAGCCAAACGCCTTTCTTCACGTCTTCGTCGGCGAGAAAAAGTCCGTAATCCTTCGCTGTTAAGGGAACAGAAAAAGAATTTTGTCAACTTTAGTGTATATCTAATATGGTTGACATTGTAACGCACTGAAATATATTAGTGCTAGGATCTTAAAGTGATCTCTGGTTCCCAAAATTTGAATTTTAAAATTGCATATCAAATAATAGTAGTATTGTAACATGCGAAATTGATTATTGATTGCGCAGTGAACATTTGTGAAATGTACTGTTGGGTTGGCAAAAAAGTAATTTCGATTGTTATAACATTATGTATTTGTGAAAATCGAAATTACTTTCTTGCTAAACCAATAATATCAGTGATTTAACTTGCAACTTGCAGGATTATAAAAATGGCCAGTGCAACAAAAATCTACAAGTTACAATTTGTTGCTTATAAATTCACAAATATTATTAAATAGTAAAATACATTTTCCAAGTGGCTCCTTGTATCAATTTAAATCATTCACAGCTGGTTACATTTAAGTGAAGGTGCGTACTTTTAAGGAGAAATATTAATA